TTTCAGTGACAGCATAAAACACATAAAACACATTTTTGGATAAAGGGACGGAAATATGATTTTTTTTGTTTTTTCCTATTCATCGATTAATCGAGTAAATAATAGACGATTATCAAAATAATAGTATGTGCAGCCCTAGTGTGCATGCAGAACACATCCCAGTGACCCTATCTGTAGCAGATCAGCTGTGGGAGCATCAATAGAGAGTGTTGAAGGCCCATGGAGTCCATACAACACCTCCCAGCGACCATTGGCCATAAGGATGTAACAAAAGACACAATTCAAGGAATATTTTATGAAAATGTAAACGCTGGCTGCCCACAATTCTCACTATTAAAGTAAATACACTATTATAGTAAAGCAGAATCATGACTCGATACCATGGACATTGTTTTCATGGATTTGGTCTTGGGTTTAGTAATGTTCAAACCCTCAAAACTATTCAACACATTTATAAATCCGATGGTTCAAACTTGCTTGACATTAAGGACATAATTACATGTTTTATCTCATCACAAAGCAACCAAGGCATGAAACAAGAACACTTTTACACATGCAATTTCTCACCATGAATCCTAAATAAGTTCCCAATAAGAACTTAAAGGTCATCTGACTAGCTGCAGCTTTGAGTGTACACTTGCAGTTTATCAGGCTAATGTTTATCATTATGTAACAATTAACTTTGGCTCCATGTTGGAAAGTTTTGAGAAAACGCTGCAGTCTGCAGTGACAGATCATGCAGTCCATTTCGACGAGCTTTTCCCTTAATAATAAAGCTTTTAAGCCGCGGCCTAATGGATAAGATTCCTGCAGCCTTCAAGAAAAGTTTAGAAACTTCTTCCACTCCATTGACTGATGGAGTTAAACAATGATGTACTCGACAGTGCATACAATCAATTACACAAGCATATGGCCTCATCCCTCAAAGGCAGGGAGGTTAATGATCAAATAGTGTGAGCCAACTATTGAATCTCCCCTGCAGTGACTCTACAAAACCATTAAAGGAAGAAAAGAAAACAGACCTCACAGCAAACCAGCTGGAGGAGGCAAACAGACCAAAAAAAACTATCGGATATGAGACGCCAAAACCATAAACAACAAGAAGTGATTCCTGCAAAATGGAATATAATAATTTCTGAATCCCCACATCAATTGTCTTACAGCATTGCACACAGTCATTTTAAAGTATCTGATCGTAGGATTTTTGGTTAGTTCAGAGCTTGGTCCCCTGAAAGCACAAAGGAAAAAGATTTTAAAAAAAACTGTGATAGAACCGAAACCCCATAGGACTCATCGGCAGTCGTCTTATATCTATGAAAAATCCACTTTTAGACATCGTTTCTCATCTCCAATGCTACCCTCCCTTCTCAAGTTGCTAGTCGGGCAGTAAACAATTGGAATGCCTGAAAAGGAACAACATTGCTGGAACTCCTTTATCACTAACAACTGTTAACACTATAAGCCTTGAAATGTTGGTTTTCACTCCCATTGGCATGTATCATCATCAGTCAAAACCAATGGGTTAAATTGTACAAAATGATGACGGCACTAAAAGGAAGTCTTGGCCCAGGAATTCTTTACTGGTTAACCGAATAACAAATGGCAACGGAGGCCATACAAAGTTGTGAAACGATCATTGAATTGGGTTTAGAAATGGATGATAAAGTAACCTCAAGTTATGTTTGTCTTCACAGAATCCAAATTAGAGAATCACCCACTTTCCCTTACTGCCTGTTCAATTCAGCAAAACTTAACTAACTTAAAATAACAAGCAGGAACAAGGCTTTTCTTTTTACAGCGACTAAAACGACTGGATTTTTCTTCATATTAGTAGTCGTAATAATTTGGCAGCAACAAATGGTCCTGACAAAGTAAGCAGTAGATCGAAAAGTAATTTACTGATGACTGCTCATTACTCTTCCAAGGTGGTAGCTTATTCTAAAGAGTAAAGCGTGATGATCTCGACTCACACTAAACACATAACTTAGTGACACAGCATGAAGATGTGGATTTGTGGCGGAGCCTCATCTGTATGCGAGGCTGTTAAAACGTCAAGAGGGTAATTATGTGATAGAAATCAGCCCTCGCCATTCAATCACTGGTGAAAGGGAGATGGTAATTATTTCAACACGGGAATATACGAAGGCTCTTCAGCAGAGCCGTCACACATGATGGTATAACTGCAACTGACGGAGCAAACACAGGCAGAGAAGGCATTCATTCGTCGTTGACAACAGACAGTGAGTGATCACACAAACTGCAGGTCACTCCCACCTCCTCCAGCAAGGATTTATTCTCAGGAAAATAACAGAGAAAAACGTTTTCCCCTTTAAAAAACCTGTTTCCAATAATCACAAGAACATCTGTTTATTGTGCATAATGAGGCAACGTCATGTACCGTAAGTGTACTAGTCAAGACCACACTTACTGAGACCAAGGCATACCTGAGACCAGGGGGCAAGGCAAGACCGAAACAAGACCAAGAACATAATTAACAATGAAAAATCAATGCTTGTGTGCAGCAGGCATGTCATTCACTTAAGAGTCCGCAACAGAAGGAAGGTTTGCAGCCATAAGCGGAGGATAACGATCGAATTATTAAAGAGTAGAAGTTATTTGTTCTTTTAGAAAGAACGTTTTTCTTCTAATCACAGTAATGACATAGAAAAATAGCCTGTCAGTGGTGGTCTTGATTTAAAATCCCGAGTTCGTCTGGTCTGAGACCGAGACAAGACAAAATGCTTTTGATTCCGAGACGAGACCTTCAAAAAGTACTACAACATTAGCATGCACTATTTTTTTTTTTTAGTAAACTACCCACATTATAATCATCTTGTTTTTTGCACACGGGGAGAATCTCCTGACCAGTAATAGAGATTCTACTGAGTTACTCATAGCAGGTCCTCATCTGGCCCTGCAGCTGTTGAACAGTAAATGGTTTATTACATAAGAGTTTAAAGCAAACTTGTTATTCCAGACTGACAAATACCATAAAGGTGATCATGACTTTGTCGTCTACACCCAGGAACAGCAAACAACATCTCAGGATTAAAGTCTAAAAGACACAGTGTGTAGTGAATATGATGTACTACATCTAATTCTATAAATGGTATCACCAACACATGGAGTGTACAGCCATCCAAACAGACACATGAGGAAAATAAATATTTGACTCACGTTAACTTCCACATTGTGCAAGTGAAGGCCAAATAGAACACTCGCAAAGAGAGAATAATAAATGGAAAACTTTGCTTCCAAAGCTCAACTTTGTTGAACTTTGACCAGTGAAGCAGCTTTCTTAAACAAAAGACAATCCGCTGGACGCTGCCCACATTCAGCAGAAAAGACACGGACTTCTCCACAGAAGAAGTGGGGATCTGCCTGTGTTGAAGGATGTCTTATGTGCAAGTTAAAAGTCTCAAAAAAGGATCCAAGTTTAGAGAATATAACTAGAGCCCAACCGATTAACCGGTCAGCCGATGTTAGCATACAGTGAGTACCGATCAGCTAATATTATCGCAGATATTACTAGATTCATTCACCAGTCAAATAGCATTTGATGAGTTTCACTGTATTACACTAGCAGTTCTCTTTCACCAGAGTGTGCTTTATGGATTACAGCAAGCATTATCACTCTCCAGAGTGTCAAGCGATGATGCAGTTTTGTCTTCATTGTATAACTTTTCTACGAGTGTTCGATATCTGCATTTAAAAAGGGATAAATGCAATTTATTCCTAATCCAGCAGGTCAGCACTTCCACTCAAACAATCCTCGTGTGATTTTTGACAATCCAGCAAACATTTTAAGTCTTACAACTCAAACTTTGCCAATTTTCCATTTATCACAGCTGACATCCCTATGAGCACCAAACAGACGACAACCAAACCACTGCTGGGGTTTTTTTTTTTCCATAAAAATATGTGAGTGCTAAATGGCAGTGCAAACATGTGCATGCAAACGTAACGTGTGCTACATTCAGAATAATTGAATGTGATGAGCAGCGCCGAGCTTTCTAATCAATAACCCTGCTGCCAGAGAGGCCGGGGACCATTAGCACCAGTGCACACAGTAAAGTGACTCTGATGTGAAATGACAGGGGCTTTCACAGGCGCCGTCCTATCGTCCCCTCTCATTGTCACTTTCTCTCTCTCACACACACACACACACACACACACACACACACACACACACACACACACACACACACACACACACACACACACACACACACACACACACACACACACACACACACACACACACACACACACACGGCAACCCTACATTGAAGCTATACTCTCACTAGGCAACCAGGACACACACTGTTTGTCTCTTTCTAAAAAACTGTCAAGACTGAAGATAAATAACAGCCTCACAGTTCCTTACATGCATATCTTTATTTTTTATTTTTTTTTAGATAAATGTGATCTTAGTCAGCCAGCTATGAGTAAAAAAACATTTTTGGACAACTTCATTTGACATTTAAACAATATGAAATGACATGAGGCAATAAATTCACCAATAACTACCAAGACAGGGATAATGTGTGCACCATAAATGTCACCCTGAGACAAACTGAATGAGCACTTAACGCATGGAAGAAGGCATTGTCTTCTCTTAAATGGGCGTTGCCTCATACCTATCATCCTAATTCTTTTGTATGGGGCTGGCGCACATTAAAAAGTGAACGTGATCTCATCAGTGATATTTATGTCCTGCTGAGGAGTAAGGCCAACTTCACTTTCAAAGACGTTTGCATGAAGGTATAACCTCGGCATCACACATCTGGAGTGAATATTGAGAGAAGTGTAAAGCTGACTTTGAGGGAAAGCTCTTTAAGAAGAGACATATTTTTGTTTTTTTGAGTTTCACTTTCAGTCTGTCACTTGTTATGAGCCATCTTTCGTTCTGCTGTTGAATCCACACGCCTGTCTCTCCAACTTTCTCCTTCAATATGTCGGTGTGTATATAACATTATTTGACACTTTGCATGCCTTACCTCTCTCCTCCTGCTCTCCGCTCCGGGTCTGGTGATCAGCGCCGTGTCACCGCACACCACCGCCGCGTCCTCCACGAACACGCAGTCCGGGAGCTCCTCGTCCGCGGGGAGCTCGACCACCTCCAGCCCCAGCCTCGTGCTCAGGACCTCGACGTACGCGTCGTGCTCCCTCCGCGCCTTGGCGAGGTCCACCTCCACCTCCGCCTGGCTGGTCCGGAGCGCCTCTTTGACCAGGGACGCAGGGATTCCCCGGACGATCGCGTGGGTGTAATAACCAAAGCCTGCCATTAAACCAGCCATGTTTTTTTTTGTTGTTGTTTGCTTTCTCTTTACTTGGCACGCTCAAACCTGACAAAAAGGAACCAAAAAAAAAAAAAAACACCCTCAGCGAATGAATGAGAGAAACTGCCGTCAGTTAACCATCTGCTGCCCTGCTCGCGTATTTGTTCCCTGTTAGTTTGTTGGGGTTTTTGGATTCTTTGTTTACAGTAGCCTGCTACATTCAGTGTCAGTCAGCCCCTGCTTTCAGTCTCCCGGCGAGCCACGGCGCTGCTGTGACGCGCACAGACCGTCACGTTCAGCCGACGAGCCGTTCAGCCCAACAAGTGACAGTCCGAGCACACTGAACATGTGGCTCAATCAATTTCACACTGGATCAGCGAGGCAGAGTGTGCAAGTCTAACTCCTTCATGCTCTTTGAGGGGAAACTGCAGCAGAATAATCAATTATTTCTCCCTCATTCCTTATTCCTCAACATTTCTGTAGCAAGGCTGCTTCTATAGGAACATTAGTTGGAACTAATGACACAGTCAATTTGTGGATAAGTGAGCATTTTTCTTAATTTTATGTGATAGTGGACTGAATATCTTTGGGCTGGACATAATAACCTAAGATATCCTGTTTGAGCTTAATGAAACTGTGATCTGCATTGATTTCAACATCAAGCAATCATATGATCACAGCGCGAGAGTTTATTGAAACATTGCTGATTTTTAACTCAAATAATGATGAGTCTATTCTCCACAAAATTAAGTTTAGATGGATATAAAGAACAAGAAAAACGTTTGCAAAGACGGTGGGAATACAAAAGTGTTATATAAAAATAGAAAATACAATTATAAAAGTTTTAAGTGTGGGGTCAGGGGGTTGTGTATGGAACATGATGCCGAACATGTTCTCATCTTCAGGTGATGCAACTTGCTAACATATGAAGATGTAGGTTTTATTTGAGGTTGTATCGTGGTGTGATCATCAAATCGTACAAGATAGAATTAAGACATGGCCTGTATTCATGTCTACTTTAACTGGTTGGCTTAAAAGACTCAGAAAATGGAAGGATATGGTAAATGATGCATTTGTAATGGAACATTTCCAAGATGTGAACAGCTAGGAGAAAAGGATAACATTCTCTACAGACGAGGATAATAAATGGTAAATGGTCTTTTCTCGTCTTCTGACTACGCAAAGCGCTTGAACACACCTACACCTTCACACACTGATGGCTGAGGCTGCCGTGTAAGGTGTCCATCCGTTTTAACTAATCCCACTCATACAAGAAATTCATACACCGCTGCTGAGGCAACTTGGGGTAAAGCGTCTTGCCCGAGGACAAATCGGACACGCGATTGAACCCCCCACCTTCTGGATGAATCGGTTGAATCTACCGCCTGACTCAAAGCTGCCCAAAAACAAAGGGCGTTATCATGTCTTGATCATAAAGACAAACCATTAGGACATTTATACACCACTGTATATCTCATGTTAGCTTCATTTCAGTTGTTATGAGACTGACTGAGGGCACATCTCTGCTCTTGCACCTGAGAACACTGAGGCCATGTGTAACGGCTTAAGTCTTGGCAGATTTAGTAAAAAAATGATGCAGACAAACCTTAAAAAGGGCAAAAGACAAACATCAAAGAGAATGCCTGTTTTGTCCTGCAGTGTGAGAAGTGTTAGGTATGAAGAGTGTGAAAGGAAAGTCTGTGTTAGTCAGAGTGTGTGTTGTGGGCATGGGAGCAGGAAGGAGCGTTATATTCCCTATGGTGCCATCTGAGGCAGGTTCTGGGCCCGCTGAAGCCGTCTGAACGGATGGAATGTTTCTTCAGACGTCCCAGAAGCACATTCTTCCACCGCGGGACCTCGGTTTGTCTTTTCTTGTTCCAAATTCACTCAATTATCCCCGACTGCTCGAAACATTCCAGGAGGTTCCAGGAGCCCCACATTCCTTTTTTTCCACTCCAGCCAGGACCACCACCCTCCTCCCAATGCTAACACCTGCCCACACCAAGACCTCTCTCTTTTTTTTTTTTTTCCATCATTCCTCATCATGGAACGACGTGGCCAAAGAAAAGACCCTCTTCTCTTCTCCTCTCTCCCTCCATGCTGAGGAATTTGGGTTACTCCAGACGAGGGGAAAGCCCTCACACTTTGAGCACACCTGGCTGGTTCTCTGCAGCGGCTATAAAAGAAAGGAGTGAAAAGCAGACGCGATCCGCCCAGCTGCAGATGAAGCAGCACCAAAAGGCTCATATTTTGTCTGGTATGATTGAACTCGTGGTGAGATCCCAGACGTCTTTAGTGACAAAGTCGTGCATGATTACACAGGTGCACGGAGCGAAGCAGTTTATGAACCTAAATACCACAGAAAATAAAGTGATGGAATGAAAGGGAAGATGATCACATCTGTTTCCAGATGGGGGGGGGGGGGGTAAACATTTCGATATCAGCTCAGATGGATTGCACTGCATCCAACATCAACGAACAAAACATCTTACATTAAGAGACAGAAATGTAGTGTTACATATTGTTATGAACTGTTGCTTTCAGGGAGTAATTTAGCTATGCTGTCAAAACAGCATTCTGGGTAGTGCAGTTCAATCAAACCAAATAGGAAAACAGCTACTATTGATGCATACAAAAGGGCGTGAGGTTCTTTTCTTACATTAATTATGACATACAGTCTGCTCTGTGCCCTGCTGGCGCCCTGCTAGTGCACCAACTGTGAATAAAATCCATGTCTGAAAGTAGTTTACGATATTTACTGTGTAGAGAATGGTGACACCTGCACACAATTCAATGCATTAAACTTCCATTCAATTTGATCAAAATGGCAAAACGAGAGAACATATTCATCCTTGCTTCATTTTGAGTTAAACTTTTGATTGATGATCAGCAGCCACAGCCCTGACCAATAGCAAAGAAGCATGTGAGGTTGACCCGACCCCTTTGTCACCGCTCACGTTCATGAGTTTAGCCTCTGCAGACGATGGTCAGTCAATCGCATTCATGCATTTGTGACTTTTTCCTACTCAACTTGTAGGAATCAATTGATCTTTGTTCAGGACTTCTCTATTAGTTTCATATTTCCTCAGAACGTATGTACAATAAGAAACTATCTATATTCCTGTCCTTTAAGTACAGTTCTATCACAGGAACTATGTGGCCGTTGACAAGACATACAAGTAGAAACCTTGATTTTAATTCCCTCATCACTCAATAATAACCGGGCTACACTGAGCGACTCCACTCATGATAATGTGTGTGAGAATCAGATAAAGCATTGCTCAACGAACTTCTTTTCTTTCATTTGCACAGACACGGCAGACTTTTTATTTTCATCATCATGGTTTATTGATTAAGAGCGTGTTCTTTCTTCTTTGGTCATTTTTTGAAAGACTTTTTAATTTTACACATTTCTGACAGTGAGAGAACATAATGTGAATGCTAACTGACCCTATTCAAAGAACCAGAATACCATGTTCTCTTTTTCGCCTGTCGCTGATTCTCTGCTTCACATCAGGTTTTCACATTTTTTGGCAAGATCTAAAAAGAGGTTCTGTTCCACATCAGATTGGATACTATGATTTCCCTTCACATTCTCGATTTTTCACAATTTCCAAAAATGTTCACTGTGGAGACGTGTTTTTTTTTTTTCACACTGAATGAAAAACAACACTGAAATTAGTATTTTTAAGATTAAGATTAACTTTATTGTCCCAGTGGGAAATTTGTCTTGGACTTCACAGAGCTCTGATGCAGTAGCAAAATAACAAGGAGATGATGACCATGTAAAGCTGCAGAATATGTCTTTTATAGTATTCCTCGATGGAAAACAAGGCCTACTTTTTCACGGTTAGTGCCCCCGCACAAATGCATTTCTTGCACAGCGAATTGCTTCTTCATTGGTCTTGCCAAGTTAGCATTGCCTTGCAGACACAAGTATACAAAAAGCATCTCAAGCGTCATCTTATTTGCTATTTTTTCAGCTCAGCACTGACTACAATCCTGTTAAAAACAGATTCTTGGTGTAAGAATATCACAAAAACTTGGTGAATCAGAAGCGCTGCTCATCAACAGGCAAGGTAGGGAACTGCTTGGGGGCCTCAGACCAGTAGGGGGCCCCAGACGGCTAACAAAATATGAACAAAAGTAGCGACCCATAATGTGCACATTTTGCAATGACAGTAGGAAACTTCAGTAAGGGGACCCCATCTGACAGCATGCTAAACCCATGGTTGGAGATCTTCAAACGGAAGGTGTACTACAGTATTGGTTGCATTGACGCAACACTGACAGGGACGAACAGAAAGCAGAATATTTCGTAATTATTTGGACTTGTCTCAAGGACAAAAGTGCTCTCTGCAGCTCTAAGGATAAACTGTCCCAAATATTCCCCAATATTCTTTGGGGAAAAAAATTATACAATCCAGGATATGAAGGAATTGCGCGTTAACAAGATTATAAAACAGCTATCCTCTCTCAGGACCTGTTTGATTTCATTAAGTCAAGATAACAAAGACAATATGGCTGAACACATCGACTCTCCCTCTTTTTCTCTTTCAAAGAATTGGCAAAACCTACAGACAAAACAAATCCAATAAAAATCATGTGGATCTGTGATTTAGAGAGTTCTTCCTTCCTGCACTGGTCGGATCAACTTTTCTTCAAACTCGACTGTGTGTTTTTTTTATTCTTTTTTTTTATTATTGCTGGCCTCATCTTTGCCCCGTTCACACAAAAAAGGACCCATAACTCAGCAGACTTCCTGTTGCTCCATGAGCTGACAGAGAGAGGAAGTGTTACAAGTACAAACTGCACACCAGTTATGACATTTATCTTGAATACTACACAATGGAATTTGCTGTTTAAACATGCGAGGCCGTCCGGTTTCTGTTCCATCTGTCACTTGAACTTAAAAGGCAGCAGATTTACCGGAACCCGGCTCTCTCTCCTTTCCGATGTGAGAGCTCCTGGTGATATCTGACAAAGATTTTTTTTTTTTTTCCAATACATCCAGCCACAATGCAGCACACCATCTCTCACACTTTGGTGAACAGTGAGATCTCCTCAGCATCCCAGCTGGAGGCTCTGAAAACAGCTCTGAAAACAGACGCTGCAAAAGCTGTGAGGCACAATAGTCATCTCAGTGAAAAAGAGAAACCTCCTCCACATTTTTTTTTTTAGGGGGTGCAAAGGAGTGTGTCTTGCAGTCCATGTGTGTAACCGGGAGGCTCTCAGACAAACTGGATGGAAACTATTATGCCAGAGTAATTACAACAAGTAGACGCGTGTCCAGCTTTTCTGAAGACTTCCTGAAGTGAATGCGTAAGAAAAGGAACGACAATTACTGCATGTTATTCTCCACTGACGTACAATGACAACACTGTTTCCTATAGCTGGAACACATGCAGTCATAAACACACACGTACACTCACATGCTGCATGCACACACACACACGAAAGCCCAAAGGTCAACAAAGACAGCATGACATAAGACCTGCTATCCAAGCAGACAGAAATGAATATTTCAGCAATTTACTGTTAATTTAGTGGATCCAGACTTTCAGCTCCAAATTGACCAGATGCAGCATTTCCTATAATAAAATCAATATGATCTTTTCTAAGCCATGCTAATGCCCTTCTCCCTAAACTCCATGTCCATGATTTTAATGCTGACTCACAGTTTAAATATGTGTCTTCCTCTAAGCCCCATACAAGGCAATAACATTGTCTTTCTTTCTTTCTTTTAAGCTTCCTCATGAGACCTTTGAAAGCGGACTTTCTACTTGACAAGAGGAGTAAACTGAATGTTGATGTTAAAAATCAATGAAATGCCCCCTTTTAAGTCTTAAATGATCGATGTTCATGTGTACAAAGACAACACACATGCATTAGCATAACTGGGGAATACACACAAGAGAGCTCTGCACATGTGCTCACTCAGACACACCCCCTGTCCAAAAAGTCTGCACACACCCACAGTCTGCATTCTTTCCGCAGACGCAGACTACACACAGATCTACTCATAATGTTATAATACGAATAATATATTTCAAATAATCTGTAATTCCTGAAAAGAAGGTAATTATTTAATTTACATAACTTCACTAATTAAACTCAGACTGAATGTAGACGCCTACAAACTTTTTTTTTTTTTGGTTTAAAAAGGATTTACATCGGGCACCGAATGATGCGCAAAAAAACAATTAGAAGTTATTTACCCACTTCTGTTAAACGGATGTTATTATCTCTACGACTCATTTCGGGCGTCATGATTCACATTTATCCAAAATAATACAATAATAATAGAGGTTTTCTCAGGTTAAAGTTGATTCATAACTCATCTTAAGTACGCAGAAAAGTAAACGAAGGGGAAACTCACCGGAGAGGTTCTCCAGTCGTCTTGTTCTGTGCTGCTGCCTCTGTTTATCGTCATGTTCAAAGTTACACGAGGCTACACGGGAGAGAGAGAAGGGAAGTGTCCGATCCCTATAAAACACAAATAAAGCATCTGCACCTCAAGCAGAATGTCTCCTTTGGCATCTTCTGAGGCGATAATATTGGCTTTATGTTGCGTCTTTACGCACTTCGTTTCCATCTGGTAAAAAGTTTTCATCTATCGGAATCATTGAAAAATGTCAGTGGAAGGGACTTATTGGGACCCCTGACCAAAAAAAAAAAAAAGAGACAAAGAGTAAGTATCTGTCTCCCCCCACTAACACCACAACATCTCTCGTGGAAAATAGGATCACTTTACCTACAACGGGACCCACTCCCCCCCCACCTCCAAACGTGATGGACAGATTGCGTGAAAAAGTCAAATTGCCACAAGGAATGAACGCAGAGGAATTTTCCCTGCATGAAGAACATATTTAACAAGACTTTAAGCTGTCAGGAATGCTTTGTGGTCTGCTGGCCGAAGGGAGAGAAATATGTTAATAATGTAGGCTACTGCCATACCAAATATGGCAATACTGTTACGTCTGAGCTCTGGTGCGCATCTGGAAACGCTTAGCTCCTCTGAAATAAAGGCGCAGGAGAGCCAGAAATAGACACTGTTAAACGTATTTCTACCCACACCTTTAGACCCAAAGACACCTTTTAAAAAAAAAAACGTGGCCACTGCATCATGCTGTAAATGTGAATTCAACAAAGTGCATTCATCGTTAAAAACAAGTTTACGCGCAAAAAAATGACATCATGCCACACGGAACAAAGTAGCACATATGACCAGCTGTAATACGTTTATATTAAGTTAATCATACTTTTGACACTGTGGTATTGTTTTACCATATTCCTTGGTTTGTTTTAAAAAGAAGATTACACAAGGATGAACTGTTTTAAAAGAACGCGTCACTGAAACCAAGAATACCAAATGATCTCATCTAAGTCATTTGTGTATAAAGTAAGGAGAGGGAGGAAACACAGGTTCTAAAAGTGACAGAAAAAAAAGCATCTTCACTTTTTCTACAGAGAAGTAGTGGAGTTTTTCGACCACAGTTGATAGATGTGAGAATCGAGCAAGAGGAAGAAAATGAAAGGAGGGATAAACAAGAAGGGGGGAAAAAAAAAATGTGAGACGGAAAAGTGTGTTCAGATGGGATCCAGGGGGGAAAAATCCATTTGAGAGCGAAAAAAAAAAAAGAGAAAGGTTTTAGACAGGGTGGAGCTTAGGTCTTGGATGGAAAATGCGCCGAGAAACATTCCTGGCATAGTTTGGGAACAGTTCAGCAGGCAGCCCAGGAACGACGTCAGCTTCCCACTACGCTATAAAAGTCCGGAGGTGGCTGGACCTCAGCAGACTGCAAGCGCTTTACCGAGAGCTTCAACTTCTCTAAAAGGAGCCTCTAACAGCAGAGACTACCAGCAAACAAACCGACCGAGCGAGGGAATAACCTAAGGACTCCTCCGAAGACACACTTTACCTACTTTTTTTTTGTACAACCGAGAGCACAGGATTCCTCCTTAAACGCGTAGAAGATATTTAACAAAGATGCTGACGCTTATTGTTGTCGTTACCTTCCTGGGAAGCCTAAACTTGGTGAGTTATTCCTCTTCTTCGGTCTGAATGAGAAACCTTCTTGTTGTTTTTATATTCTAAGGAGAGGGAGCAGAAGTTTCTTTGAGAGTTTTTACTAAACTTTTGCTGAGGCAGGAGTTAAAAAAAAAAAAAGTTCAGTCTTTAACGAAAGATTGTGTTGCTGGTTGTTTAGGTCCTCTCCTCCTCCTCCTGCCCCTCCGTGTGTGAGTGTCCCTTGGAGATGCCCAAATGCGCACCCGGCGTGAGCGTCGTCCTGGACGGCTGCGGCTGCTGCAAAGTTTGCGCCAGGCAGCTGAACGAGGACTGCAGCCTGACTGAGCCTTGTGACCACACCAAAGGGCTGGAGTGTAACTTTGGGGCCAGCTTTGCTGCTGCTACTACTCGTGGCATCTGCCGAGGTATGTAGAAAAAAAAAAAAGCCTCCAGCTACAGATGTGCATGCTTTTTCTTTTAAGTTTTTGTTCAAATATGGGGTTAGTTATTCTGGACTATGTTGAAAGACCATTCAGTTTGAGATGATTATGCTTTTCAACTAGCCTAAGGTTCTAGTTGAAATAAGGGGGGGGTGGGGGTTGATTTAGGAGTATGGGAAGCTGTGTGATTTCAACACTGTGGAATGCAGATAGAAGGAAACTTAGACTAAACTCACAGTACAGACAGCCGACTGTGGAGGGGAAAAAAGACTCCTCAGGCAGCCTCAAGAATTTCACAGTTTAACTGATCCTTACCTGGCAGCCATGTGATGTCTTCTGCAGACTTTTCCAAAGCCGAGCAGGAAAGAATAACATTCCTTTCCCCCTGTTTTTTTTCTTCTCCCCTTTGCAGCCAAGTCAGAGGGCCGACCCTGCGAGTACAGCAGCAGGATCTATCAGAACGGAGAGAGCTTCCAGCCCAACTGTAAACACCAGTGCACATGCATCGACGGAGCGGTGGGGTGCGTCCCGCTGTGCCCGCAGGAGCTCTCCCTGCCGAACCTGGGCTGTGCCAACCCAAGGCTGGTCAAGGTGGCAGGCCAGTGCTGTGAAGAGTGGGTGTGTGACGATGGCAAGCAGACAGACATCCTGGAGAAGATCTTTGGCAAAGACATGCTGACTGATGAGTCGGAAAGAGAACTCACCAATAGGAACGAGCTCATCACTGTCGTCAAGGGAGGACTCAAATCTCTTCCAGGTAAGAAAGTTGACCCTTATTCCTGGAATTTTTTCTTTTCTTTAGACATATTCATAAGGTCTTAAAATATGCAGGACTCTAAGATGCTCATGTTTTCCCTCTTTCTTCCTTTGACAGCATTCAGATCACAGCCTGAAGTCCACATGTTTGACAGCCAGAAGTGCATCGTCCAAACCACACCCTGGTCCCAGTGCTCCAAGAGCTGTGGAACGGGGATCTCTACCAGAGTCACCAACAACAACAGCGAGTGCAAGCTGGTCAAAGAGACGAGAATCTGTGAAGTGCGGCCATGCACCCAGTCCCCTTACTCCAGTCTGAAGGTAAGCTTGAGGCACCAGTGCTTGATGTGATAAGAGGCAAGCATACACCTGAAAATGCATCATTTTAACTGGGCTTGAGTAGCAAGACTAATCTCAATCTTCTTGTTTGTTTGCTCTGCAGAAAGGAAAGAAGTGCAGCCGGACCAAGAAGTCCAGCCAGCCGGTGAAGTTCACCTACGCCGGCTGCTCCAGCCTGAAGAAGTACAGGCCCAAGTACTGCGGCGCCTGCGTGGACGGCCGCTGCTGCAGCCCCCACGACACCAGAACCATCCGCGTCAAGTTCCGCTGCGAGGACGGCGAGACCTTCAACAAGAACATCATGATGATCGAGTCCTGCAAGTGCACCTACAACTGTCCCCACGCCAACGAAGCCTCCTACCCCTTCTACCGCCTCTCCAATGACATCCACAAGTTCAGAGACTGATTGGGCGGCCGACGTCCAAAAAGGAAGACATCATCAGCAGTACTGGCGGCCAATGGCGGTCAAGATGAATGCAGGGGTGTAAATAAGACTATCAAATCAACTACCAGCTTCTTGTTGTAACTAGATTCCCAAGGAATTGTTGGCTTACATCATGAGGACTAAATGAAGTGCACTGTTTGCTGTGACTCGGCAGCATTCTTAACTAAGAAACGCTTCGTATTAATGGAGCATCTAAAAGTAGCTTCGTTATGGAGCAAGATGTAATTAATATTTGTACATTTATGTTAGTCTCTGATATCAATTCACTGTGTATATTTTTGATCCTTTACATCAGACATGACACAGACTGTAGACTTGTGTGTGCATCGGTAGATAATGCACACGCGCAACTTCAATTAGCATACCAATCCCGTATCTTAAGAACAAAGACACCGAAATGCGGCCTCTCGACTTGTTTAACAAGTGTGCGGTTTCATTCCCTCCTGACGTGGGCATTAATTGTTCATGTTTTGTGGCAGCTATTGAACTCCTTTCATGAAAAAAAAAAGACAAAGCGAAACATGTCAAAGGATGAATGAATGTTTTTATTATTGTTATTAATATTATTTATCGAAAAAAAGTGTAGCTTCTTTATTTGGATATTATGTGTCATACTGGAATAAATTGTAAAAATGATTTAATTTTATATGCTACAAATAAAACTGATTTATTTATGAAATAAGACACCGTCTGGGTTCAGTTTGTCTGCAGGACAGCACAAAGGACAATGCTCGAATGCATAAGGGGAGCAGGGGGTGGGGGTGGGGGGGTGGGAGGATGTTTAAAGCCACCATTCCCAGAGAAAATCCCCCTGTTATATCATTCTGTAGAGCCAACAGATTCTCAGACAGACACTGAGCAGGGTCAGTCCCTTCTTATATAACACAACCTCAGAGGCTCTCTCTCCTGACTTTGTGTGTGTTGGAATGCCATTCTGCAGCAGGCTAGCTTTCTTTCATTTGATCTAGCTAAGCCATACACTTGACTGATTCTGAGAGAGGAGGAGGGGGGGGGAAGAGATTAAGTCCACAAGTAGCAATGAGTATGGGAGTATGCCAAGAATCTTAAGTGCTGCACTGAATGGGCTTGGATTAGACACCATGCAGAAAGGACAATGACTATTATTGCATACAATGGGCAGTGTACAAAGAATGCATTCCCTGGGAACCTTCTTTTTTTTTTCACACGGCAGCATGGCAATACCAAATTGACCTAATTCATTAGCAGTTGCCTTTAGAAGAGAATTAGTTGCATTGGCCTCCGTTGGCTCTTAAACTGCAGGGGTCTGCTAAACAGTTGTAAACAGCCCCGCAAAGTCGTGAGGGATTAAGTCTGCCTTCCAGGTTTCACTTTAACAAGCGTTAAGAAATACTATTACGGAGGTAGAAGCAGGGGAAGGACAGGAAACAGGGGTAACATAGTTTCTTCTGTGGTCATAGAAACTCCACGTTCAGTTTTCCAGCTTCTGAAACTGTGTGTTGCTACTGTCACAAACAGCGCTTGAAGAAAGAAAAATAAATATCAGTCTGAAAGGATGTTTTCTTTATTTGAGGGTCTAATGGCAGATTCTTGCACCTGGTACAAATACCTCCAGTACAGTCTGAACTGGGGTAAGGAGAGCAGAGCTCAGGGGCAACGACAGGGAAGGGTTTCTTTTTTGATCCAGGTAGAGGGAGCGGCTCAGGAATGCAGCAGTGGCTCAGAAAGCAGACATCCTGATGGGCGGCAGATGTTGGAAAAATATTTCAGAGCAACATGTTCACTTCAGCTCGGCGGATTTTCCAAATATACACAAACACTCCACAAAAAAAAAAGGCATTTTATCTCCTCACAAACAACCAGTATAAAGACCTAACTATCTGAAGCTACAGGGGAGCTCCTGCTCAACATTCCTGCATACTAGCTGCTGGAAATAAGTGTTGATCGAGTGTGTTTAATAAGAGGTTTGAGCAGGACACATTGCCTTTGATTGAGCTGCATACCGCACAGGATGTGCCCACTGAGGTTTTACAGATTGCTCACATGAAAGGCTCCTGAGGTTTACCTAATCACAAAGATGTGTGGCCACCCCATGCAGCCAGATTTACACTTTCAGGGAGCCCTGTTTTTGCTCTTTGCCTTTTTTTTTGTGGCTTCCTCAAGAAGAAAACATACATCTGCAGAGTTTTGAAAGTGCCATGCAATGAGACTGTCATTTGTCTTGTTAACACAATGCAGCTAACTTGGTTATGTAACGGCACCTGCATGTTATGCGATTTGTGTTTCCGATCAGCCGTAGCAGAATGTACATAAAAAGCACATCGGCAAGGGCCACAATCCTTCAGCTCCAAAAGATCTCACCATGCTTTGTGAGAAATTGTGTGGTCGCAGCCAAGACGTCGCACAATCCTGTAAAAGCCATCACGCTCACATGCACCCCCTGCAATTATATCACCCAGAGACTACCTCATTCCCCCGAACCCCAAAAAAGTGTTTATATGACAAAGACATTAGCATTAAAGCTTCATCAAGCACTACGTAATGCTGTGTAACCAGAAGCAAACAGGACTGAGAGTGGCCATTGCAACATGCTGGAAGCTGCCGAGCGACTGATGTAAGCTTATTTTACAACCCCCCTGTCTGCAACCCCAGGTTAATACTCACTGTTATAAGGAACCAGTGGGGAAGAAGTAAAAAGAGGGTTAGAGGCTGGCCACCAAGTACACATGCAGAGGCAGACGCTTGTTGCAAAAGGCACCATCTGCTGGACAAGATAGCAACTAGCATCCTGCATATCTGAACCCTCTCACCTGATACACCTGCACGTTTTAAGGTTTTAAGAATAAAATGTGCAGCAACAAATGTCTTTATTTTTGTATTGGAATGAACATGTATATTCCCCTTTATATCTCACTGTAACAAAGTGATGTCAAAGATTAGCTAAAGGGTGTGGGACCCTCTTGTATAAATCAGCATGAACACATACACACACACAAACACACTCACACACACACAACAGTGACAGTGATGCAACTGCTCAGACACACCCTGCACATCCACATCTGTAATTACATAAGAGTAAAGCATCCCCTCCCAGGCTGTTGGAGTGTACAGTCTGTCTCCAGAGGCCTGCTGGCTACTGAGGTGATTATTCCTCTCAAACAAGCCGAGCATTGATGGAAGAGTCAGAGCAGAATCTTTGGGCGTCTAAAGACAATGTTCGACTTAATATTCTCCGAGGGGGCAGATGCCGTCAACAACTGAGCTAATGTTGGCATATGCTGCTTGTCTATTGTTGAACAATGAGATCACATTATCAGAAACTGTCATTCTGCCTTCAATGTCCTCAAAATGTTAAGGAGGCATTAAACTAAGAGCTTGTTTATTCAACTCTGATGATTTTATCCAAATGTGAAATATCACTGAAAACAAACATGACACCTGGACATTAACAGGTGTAAGTGCAGATGTGGCGTCTTATTCCAGTTCTCTCCTGCTACTGGCCCCGTCGTTCCTCTTGGTGGACTACGTCTTTAACAAGAAGTTTAAGTGTAGTTAAGTTGTCAACCTTGTCGATACCACTTTTTCAAAAAGATTCAATCTCTGTCATTTAAATGATGGACATCATCGAAAAGTACCGATGCTTGAAGAAAACTTCAGATCTTTAGTCATATTCTTACCCAAAGCCACCCTAAGTGAAGAGATAGATCACTGTCTAAGCTGCACAAATAAGTTGGAACCAACGTATTTGGACTGTTTGCAGGAGTTTGCCTGCATTTTCTGGCACATCAAAAACAATAAATGACTCAACAATTGGTGCCAAGCGCTTGTGTCTTTGTTGCCTTGGTACCAACATAGGTATCAATACTGTTTGATTTTTACTAGAATAATATTAAAGATTAAACATCTGACACTGTGACAACCTTAAAGTCTAGTTAGTGTAAACCCAACACAGTTTTTAGAAAGCATAATATTAAAGCTAGGGTATGAAATTCTGTTGAAAGATGATTTAAACACATCAGCATCCAGCTTTCCTACAGATGGTCTGGACCAAAAACACATTGAGGGGCATTTTCAGGGAACCAACTGTAACCAATAATAAATACTTTGGTGAAATAAAAAGCGTCTGCTGCCTGTGAGTTATTCAGTCTAAGTATTTATTTTTATTTAACCAGGTTCGTCCCACTGAGATTAAGAATCTCTTTTCCAAGGGAGAAGCCAAGACTGTCAGCAGCAAAAACACAAAATTACAGACAGAGACACAAAGGGAGACAAAGTGTGATTTAGTAGAAGAAGCCTTTTCAAGAACTGTCAAGGTGTAGCTCAGTTCTTCATGGGCAATGATGCGGAAGATGAAGAGTAGCCAGCTGAAGAGTTCAGAGTGCAGAGCATGAAGGCCAACGATTACTAACGGTATACAAGCGTTTTTTTGTGGCATGGTCCAAGCAACTTTTTGTTTTCTCTTTACAGAGGCAGGGATGTGCACGGACACTGGGTTCTTTTCAGCTCAGAAAGAATGGACAGCTTGCAGAATTTAACCATCATCATCATGTTTATTGACTGACTCAGGAGAAAAGACAAAAAGACAAAAAAGCTAACAAACAAAACATGGTGAGGACATGATGACTGATTTGAACAAAAAATGCATAACCCACTTTTAATACTGACCTAGCATGCAACACAAGGCGAGTGTTAAATCAAGTTTAAACTAAATAAAGCTTAATTCAAACTTAAAACACTTAGTTTGACTGTATGACTTAAATGGTCCCTTATGTCTACTGACTGTCTTTACACATTCTCATATGTTAAGTAAAACCAAATGAGGTTAATTTAAAGCAGGGAGACCTTAAAACAAAACAATAAAAGAGAGTGAAAATTGTGACCACTGCTTTCCAAATGACGGACTCCCTTGTTGCTCACATTTGACAATTCAATTTTCAGTAAATGTCGGTCACATAAAAGCACAATAGCTATATTTATTTCTTTTACAGATCATTTCAAACTTGACCACAATATTTGAAGTCATAAAACAAAATGCTCTTGGTTAGGATATAAAAAATGTGAGTTAAACCTTTCAGCAGTGGTTGGCCAAAGGATCAGGATTCTGCTGATGTTCCAATGGAACATTAAGTGACAAGAGTGATGCATTTTCCTCTTCTTCTGTCGGACTCATGCTGGGTAATTGCAGCCTGAGTTTCCACTATTGTAAAAGCATAAAGGCTCGTTCGGCCTTAGTCATAATAGAGTCCGCCACACACTTTCCTATGTTACACGGTTTCTGATTTCTTCTGCATCTTTTGATCTTTAGAGCGGACAATGGTAGTACCATGGGAATGAAGCTAATGAGTGGCAACTATGGCTTTAGCTAAGAGCAGTTAAAAAGTGCCTGCTGGCCTTCCCTTGTCACAAACTGTAATTAAGTAAACATGCAAAGAACCAGATGTAAATTTAAAGGGCCCATATTCTGCTTTTTCTGGTTTTATATGCTCTTTAGTGTGTTTTCCAAGTGTCCTGTGCATGTTTAGGCACATCTATGTGCAAAAATTTGAAGTCTGTGGAAACGCAGCTTCTCCTACGTCCTCCTGTTAGCTGTAGCATTAGCTGCATGTAACGCTCGGTTCTAGCCCCCCTCTTGTCAGTGTGAGATCACTGATCTAAGTCCATTGGCTCGTTGTGGCAAGCCCAGCAGCTGTAGCACGCCCACG